AATGTTCAATAATATTGATATCTTGAGATTGGGGAGGCCCCTCCATGTGTTCTAGCTCACTTTCATGCTCTTTATACCAATTCTTAAACACTCGAGGCATATGTATTGGAGCATTATCGTCTTGGAAGATGCAGTCACCATCAAGGAATAAAGTCTTGGCCATTGGATGAACATGATCTCCCAAAATGTTCAGCTAATCTTTGCTGTTGATTCTACCATGCAGGGCAACTATTGGACTGAGATATTTCCATGATATGGCGACCCAAACTATCACTGATCCACCTCCATGCTTCACTGTTGGAAGAAGGCAGTCAGGGTTGTAAGCTTCTTTGGGCTGCCTCCACATAAACTCGCCCTGAAGTTGGGAAAATAGAAAAACTGAACACGTCTGAGAATATGACTGGCTTCCATTGTTCTGCAGACTAGGCATTGTGATGTCTGCACCACTTCAACCCCTTTTGAATGTTGCGAGTGGAGAGAAGAAGTTTCCTCACAGCGGCTCTTCCATGATATGCAGCCTTAAGGAGCTCACGGTGAACAGTTTTAGTAGAAACTGAACGATTCAGATGGTTATTCAACTCAGCAGTCACATTGGCCGCATTTGTCCTATGATTTTATGTCACATTGCGTTTCGATGCACGTCAGTCCCTGTCAGTAAGTTTGCAAGTCCGGCCCGAATTGCTACGGTTACTAGAGGTTTTGCCCTATTTCTCGAATTGCGTCATAGTTCTTGATATGGTAGCACTTGAAAAATCAAACAGTTACTCAACCTTAGTGATCGAGGCTCCTGTCATGCGAGCTCCAACAATTTGCTCTTTTTCGAACTCGGAGAGGTCACGCATTTAGCTTAAATTTTTCTAAATTCTAAAAATAAATAAGAAAAAGACAGTAAATAAGATAAATAAACGTATTTACAATAGATATAATCTGCAATTACGAAGTTTTAGTTAAAGTTCTTAATATAATAGGCCTTTGAAATATAGGGGTGGATTTTGCAACTGTTCTAATTATTTTGTCCAACCCCTGTGTGTCTCGCGTTGTTTTTCCTTGTCTCCCTTTCCCTCTATTCGACCCGTGAGTATCAGATTCTTCTTCCTCATGATGTGTATCAGAGATGTCAGCTGCCTCTTCCTGACATTAAGACCTCATCGCTGCTCACACGCTTGGTGTATGATATCCTTAGCATCCTTCTGTAGAATCACATCTCTGTTGCCTCGAGTCTCTTCTTCATCTCTGAGAACGAGTTATATTAAATTATAGTTGTGTATCTTAAATGAGGATACGAGCCCTATGTTGATAAATTTTATTGATTTGTTTAATGGCATATCAACACTTTATGGGACATTTAATGACAAAATTTGATTTTTTTGTGAGCTTTGAAGTAGTAAAATTATGTTATTCTGCTTTCACAATTGTATACATGGTAGATGATACTCAGCTTTTGTGCATATATATGTTTGTGTTCACAATTACTAGAGGCTGTGATATGTGTGTTTTATGTTGTAGTTTTGTTGAAGCTATATTTTTGGATACAGTTTGATTAAAACAATGTAGGATATTATATGGATTTATGTCATGAAAGTATTCTTTCATGTTGGTTGTTTGGTTGACTGATGTTGTTTAGCGGCATATCAAAGTATATAGATTATTTAATGCTAAAATCTAAATATTTTGAACGCATTTGTATGCCTTTCAATACAAAATGCTAACCTCCAGGAAAATGACACGTTGCACCTCGGTCTAACATTCTCGGCTGACATGAATTGGAAAGATTATATTGAATCCATTGCTAGGCCTGCTGCTACTAAATTTGGTTCACTATATCACGCAAGATGTTTTCTCTCCAGAATCTATCTTACATATTCTTAAGTCTACAATTCCTCCATGCAAAGAATATTTCTTCTACATATGGCCAGGTGCTCCTGATATTTACCTTGATCTTCTTGATAGGATTCCCAGAAGAATCGGCAATATTATTATTGTGGGGCTCGCCCCTTGTACACAAGATAGACACGTCCAAATTATACTACGGAGAGATAGCGTGACAAAAAGGTCGAGACAGTGTGTTCATTATACGAGAGTCCAGAAAGAGAGATAATTACTGCTTTACTTACAGAGACTTGTACATATATTTTTCTACTAACCCGCATTCCTGGACTACTAATCTTCATTTCAAGTTTGTATTCTTACGATTAATACACTTATTTTTCTATTTCAATACTGGCGTTGTTTATTTATTTGTGCAGGATCCCATCCCCGGAATCCACAACAATTATTGATCCTGATCTGGCGTCTCGGCTTCAATCACTTTCCCACCACCGTAAGGTTGCCTCACTGTGTATTTTCTATAAATTCTTTAATGGTAATTATTCGGATGATTTCTAGATTTTTTAATTTAAGCGCAGTACTAGACTGGAGTCGAGATCTCATCAATTTACAGTTGAGCTGGCGAGATGTAGCCGTAAGTTCTATGCTAACCCGTACTTCCGGTTTCATGTTTTCCAGGTAACTTTAATCAGCAAAAATTTAAATGCAATGTCAATCACTATCTACTGTCAAATTGAGTACTCTTTCCCCTTCCTGATCAATATTAACGTTTCTGTTCCTAATTCTTACGCCCTGTAACCCCTTGTATCTCTGCTGCCTTGTATGAGGTGGAACCAATTTTTAAAAAAAAGATAATATGTGTTGTTGGTAACTCTACAATAAATTGGTATTGTTGGTAATACTAACAGATGCTACCACCCAGATCAGGATGGATCTGGGAACAACATCAATTAAGAGGTGATTCCACGCTTCTCAAAACTCTAAATTCCTTGCGGCCGGATGTAGTTTATCGTAATACTAAGGACTGCTTATGTTGCTAGAAGAAATCCCACTAGTGACTATTTTGCTTGTATCGACAATGTTGAATGGGGTGGCACAAATATTATAGACACATATAGATATTTCTACAACAATTTCTTTTTTTTTCTCTCTCAGAGAAGAAAAAAAAGGGATAGAATTTTGTTCGAATAAAGAAACCCTATGCCTGTTGCAAAGATTTTAATAAGAGTTTTCATTTTTTTTTTATCAATGCGTTTCTACCCCCAACCAATCTCTTTCTTTTTCTCTCCCCATTCCCCGCTTCATTTTTGGCAATCATAGATTCTCCTGTGCGGAAGCCATTTGAGAATATTGACATTGTCTATCGATCACATTTCTGTTTACCCAATTGATAAATGGTCAGAGAAATACAGACATCCAATCGTGATTCGAAGCGAACTATAATCATCGGTTTGTCAGGAAAGCTATACACAAAAAATGTTATTCTTATATAAGAATTTGATTTGATCGTGTGGAATCAGCCAGATACCTTTAACCCTTTGCTTGTCCTTTGTATCATATGTGATGCACAGATCTGATTTCCACGTCCGTACATCATATGTGGTAAACACGAGCCATGATTTTAAAAGAATAGTAAAACTATGGATGCACAATAAAAGCAACTACTATTGAGCAGGGCATCTGAGGAAAGGCCTAATCTAATATTTTTTGCATCATATATGACCACAAGACGGTTGACTGATAATGAAAGGTCGCAAATAAAAGACATCTATTTTACCAATTTATTGAAATGATTATGTCCTTTGCCTCTCATGTGATGCACACAGCATAGGGTAAATAACTTTGTACGTTATGCGCATCACACACACACAAAACGGAAGGCTCGGAATAAACGCTCCTACTCATAGCAACACTATATATATATATATATATATATATATATATATATATATATATATATATATATATATATACTAACAACATGGCCCGGCGTTACCCGTGCTTGATTCAAAAATCGTACGACTCATACAGCAATCGCTATCACTTGACTTAAAATATTTTTTCACTTCCTTGCCTTTAAAGGAGTGCCCTTTGCCGTGCTGATGTTGCTACATGCCTTACTTCTTCTCACACTGCGAATTTTTTCTAAGCTCTATACTAAACATTAAATCTGTTACGAAAAAAGAACTAAACAAAATGAACACAAAACGATCAGCTTTAAAAAAGGACTCGTAACTGGAAAAACCGAATGAAAAAAGAATGTTAACAACAAATACTTTTTCACACCAAACCCAGTTCTCCGGAATAAGAATCAACGTTGAGTTTAAGCAAGCGAATGAGCCAATTGGAGTAAAGTGCCATGTAGATTTAAATTTTTCCCACTTGTGACGAATGCAGCTATCGATTTTTTTTGCATATTAAAGGGCACTCCTTTAAAGGCAAGGAAGGGCAAAAATATTTTAAGTTATAGCGATTGCTGTATGAGTCGTACGATTTTTGAATCAAGCACGGGCAACGCCGGGCCATGTTGCTAGTTTGATATAAATCCTTCTATATGTCAGTGAATTCTCTATAATTTCCACACAAATGAAAAGGAGACTTGAAGCGGCAGAGATGTTGTTCAATGCTGATGATTTCAAGAACAAGAAATAAAATTAAAAAAAATATATTAATATCAATAAAATCAATTTTCAGCTTAGGATTAGAAAATGTTGGGAAATTAGAACAAAAAGGACAGAACAATCTGAATAAAAAATACGTTTGAAATTCCTGGGAGACAAAATCAGGAAAAAAAAAGATACAGATAATTTGGCACTAACAGGACATACCAAAGAAAAACACCTTCAGTAGGAAACCTTAAGTACCTGGGAAGGAAAATACCTAAGAAGACAAAATGACTCAAATTGATTGATTCGTTTTCTACGGCTTATCAATCATTTGTAGGCTATTTAAAGCCAGAAATTACTTTTAGATTGTAAGAATCTTTTTGGAGATAATAATGGTTTAGTGATTCAAATCTTACTAATTAACCCATAGCTGGGAAGAGAAGAGGATGATTAATACCTTTCCCAAAGGTATTTCCGCGTAAGTGTATATAACTAACCCAACGGGAATTGGAACTCGGCTCTCTGATTAACAAAGCATTGTCCATTACACCGACCGCACATCCAAAATTACAGCATCTGGCGTTTCCAAACGATTACTCATGAAGGTACTGACCAGGCTCGATGTTGCTTAACTTCAGTGATCGTACAGGAACCGGTATTTCAACGTGTAGTGACCGAAAGACATACCATTAGCACATTCAAGGTTACAGCAATTGGTATTTTCAAGCGGTTCCCATCTAGGTACTGAGCAGGCTCGACGTTGTTTAACTTCAGTGATCGTACGGGAAACGGTGTTTCATCATGTAGTGACCGTAAGCAATACCACTAGTACATTCAAGGTTACAGCACATGGTATTTTCTTGTGGTTACCCATTTAGGTACTGACCAGGCTCGATGGTGCTTAACTTCGGTGATCGTACGAGAACTGGTGTTTCAACGTGAAGTGACCGTAAAACATGCCACCAGCACTTTCAAGGTTACAGCACTTAGTATTTCCAAGTGGTTACCCATTTAGGTACTGACCAGGGTCGACGTTGCTTAACTTCGGTGATTGTACGAGAACCGGTGTTTCAACGTGAAGTGGTCATAAGCCAAGCAGATACGAAGAATAGGCATTGTCGGTGGACCATGATCGTTCATTTCTTGAAGGGTAATGGTACATAGGAAAAAAAAAACCCTATCAGATTTCGATCTTTATTTATGATTGTCATATTTGTGTGGATCGGTCAACATATGTATGTGTCCCGTAATCAAAGAGACACAACAATTACATTTACAAGATATACAGCGGGAACACCAGCCCAGATATGACAGCAGTATTCAATGCATGCTCGAATGGTAAATGTACAAGATCAGTTCTGGCGATAAAAAATGTCTGGCACGTCACAATGAACCAACTGTCCTAGCAGTCGACCTAGCAATTGATTCAATGTAGTCTCTAAGCTTCATGCCAGTAGAAAAAGTGAGCTCATCAAGACGCAAAGTTTAGCATCAGCCATTTTGATAAGATGAGTAAATTAAAGCAGTTTTGTTTTATAATAATGATATATATAAATAAAATATAATGAAGTAACATAATATAATAATATAAATATAATATAAATAATAATATAAATATAATATAAATAATAATGATATAAAATATAATATAAATAATATAATATAAAATAATATAATATATTACAAAATAATATTATATATTTTAATATTAATCCATAAATGTTAATAATAATAATATTAATAATAGTAATATATATTACTATTAATATTAATATATTTTAATATTATATATAATACTATATAATAATATAATGTAATATAAAATAATATAAATAATAATATAAATAATATAATGAAATATAATAATGATTCATAATAATATACCGAAAATGGATACTAGAATATGACTAAATGAAGCAAAAAAGAGCAGAAATAAAAGATATTAAAAGTGATAAAAAAATGGAAATTGAAAAATTACTATAAAAGAAGATGAATGAAAGAAAAAAATAACGTAGAAAGAAAAAGAAGAAAAGGAAAGCTAAGCTCAGAAAAAGAAGAAACACAAAATAATAGGTCAACGAAAAAACGAGGGAAAGAAAGAAAGAAAGAAAGAAAGAAAAAAGACAAAATAAAAGCTCAACAAAAACAAGGAAGTCTCCCCCCACAAATAAATCTAAAGACGAAGTTTCGAATGAAATAAAATGGGAAAACGAAACATTGCTCTCATTTACCCGATTAAATTCAAAGATGGATATGCAATGTTATAGGTCCTGACCTGGCATCTCGACTCCAGTCACTTTCTCACAGACGTGATGTGGCTTCCCTCTGTCTTTTCTGCAAATATTTTCATGAAAACTGATCTTTTATCCGTGGTGCCCCAACTGCGTGTATTTAAGCATGCTACTAGGTTGGCATGTCGGTCCCACGCTTTTACTGTCGAAACAACTAAATGTAACCCCCTTTTCTACTCTAACAGCTTCATCTGTCATATTTCCCCGCAGTAGAACTCCCTTCTCTTACTTGCTTCCCTGATAATTATAATCTTCAAAAATTTTAATGTAGTGTCAATCGACATCTTCTGATGCCTTGATATTGATCTCCGTCTTTCTCTTTATCCTTTCCTCAAACACTGCTCTTTATTCTTAATTTCACTCTCTGTAACCCCTTGCGTGCTAGGAACACTCCCGCCTTGTTTGGGGTGAATTGATTAAAAAAAGAAAGAAGAAAAAAAAAATGAACCATATGAAAGAAATTGGGAAATCTATGAAGGGATGAATAAATTAACCCTTTGTGCCCTGACTATCGCTTTACTGGTGGTAGAGAAAAATGACGTAATGTCCAGCCACCAGTTGAACAGTGGTAGAGAAAAATGACGTAATGCCCAGCTACCGGTTGAACGGTGGGTAAAAACTAGTAACAAATTTTATATCTACCGTGAAAGATGATATACCAATTATTTGCGAATGTTGACTGAGGAGCTCAAGTAGACAGCTTAAAATTGTTCAGGAACTGTTATGATGTTGATTTGGGGTTAGTAGAGACAAACGCCAAATAACACGTAACAATAAAAAAGGGTTTTAATAGGTTGGTAAAAAAGGTACAGAAATCGCCTGAGTAGTCAATAACTAGCTTAGCTAAGAACCTCTCTGTCTATCTGTCTTAGTATTTATCGATCCACCCACGAGGATTGAATATGGCACAAGGCCGGTTTAATGTGGGTATCTCCGAGCCCGTAGGCTCGGCCAAAAATATAGCGTTTGAACCCGCCTAGACGGGTTCAGGCCTTGTCTACCTCCCCGGACGAAACCTTGCCCTTCGGCAAAGCTTCGCCCGGGTTCCTCTCTGCTAACGCAGAGAGTTCGACAGACGTCGTTTACAGTCAAAGACTGTATCACGACTCAGCTAGACTCGGAGGTCTTACCCTCTCTGTCTATCTGTCTTCCCCATGTCAACTGACATGCCACTATTTAAAGTCTTTGTTCACAGACGTAGACAAGTTCATCTTCAAGAGGGGTGGTAGGTTTCCGACACAACAGGAACAGAGGTCTCGAAGAGTTAATGATATGTTTCATTCTTTAAGGAGATTCATCAGACTAATAATGGGCTTTATTTTTGATGGCTTATCAACCTTTTTCAGGATATTTAAAGCCAGAAAATAGTTTTAATATTTGTTTTGGATATAATGATTTACTGTTACAAGTCACACTAATTAACCCATAGCTGGAGGGAGAAGAGGTATATTCATACCTTTCCCAAGGGTATTTAAGCATAAATGAATATAATAAACCCAACTAGAATTGGAACCCTGCTTTCTGATTGTCAATTCTGAGCAGTTATCCGTTACACCACCCACACATCCAAGTAACCCAGGACGGCACGGTGGAGTAATGGATAGCGGCTTGGATTGAGGAATCGGAGAGCCGAATTCGAATTCCAGTCGACTCCATTACATTCACTTACGTGCTAACACCCTTGGGAAAGGTGTGGATCCTCTCTCTTCTCCCTCCAGCTATGGGTAAATAGCAGGAAAGACTGGGTTCTATAGCCTTGGATGGCAACTGGTCTATTTGACAAGATTATGAACTACAATCAAAGTATTGGTGAGTTCAATCTCGGCTGAGGCCGCAAGATGATGATGATAATATAAAAAGATAATTGCGGCATCAGTTTAAAAAGAAAAAGAAAAAAAGAACCCAGGACTCAAAGGTTTAATATCAAGAAGAGACAGTTGAGTTTTCTTGGTCATATAATGTGGAAGGATGTCTTGGAGAATCTGATACTCACGTAGCAGATAGAGGGCGAGAGGCACAGAGGAAGACAATGCATGGGGAATTTGAGTAAATGGATGGCAGAACACGGCTTGGGAGAAATGGCAGAAGGAGAAGGTTTATTAAGAGCTACAAGGGACAGGGAATTGTGGAAAGCAATGATCACCCACGTCCTGTAGGGACACGGCAAATAAAGGAATGAATAAATTAAGGAAAGGAAAAGATGGAAGTAGCAAAGAAAAGAAGATAGAATGGTCCTTTTTTTTTTCTTCTTTCTTCTCTCTTTAAGAGTTCAAGGAAAATGGAAGTATGGAATTGGGAGAAAGACGTCATGCATTAATTTAGAAACGGAAAAGAGGCCGGAACGAAAAAAAAATGAAAGGGAAGTTGCTTTATGTACATTTCCATCGTTTTTATTTACGTTGCTTTAAAAACGAAATTTCACGCTAGTTGCTTTAATTGTTGAATGATATCGACCATGAAAGATGAAATTAAAACAATATAAGAAAAGACAAGACAAAAACAAAATAAGAACACGTCCGAGTTAGAATAATGGGACAAAATTATAACCACTTTAATATTTGAACCTAAAGCGTTAGGACCCAGTTGGCATGGTAATTTACGGAAAATCGGCAAAACAAGATCAGTGGCTAGAATTTAATAAAGTGTTTTACTGACAGATAATACAACAGTAATATATGTGTGATAGCTACAATTACCACATAGTAGTGAGTTCGATTCTCACCGGGTGCCCCATACTTTCGGCCTTGTGCCACATCTAAGCTACGCTTGGAAAATCACGATATATGCGTGATAGCTTGTCTATTCTTAGAAAATAAAGAGCAAAACATATTTCTTTGCTTGTAATAGTTTTTCTTTGACATTCACTATTTTTTTATGTCCCGTGTCCTTTTTATAGGCGGATGATTATTGCTCTCCACAACTTCCTATTCTTTGTAACACTAAGCAAATAGTCCCTCTACTATGCCCAAGTACATATTCTGCAATGCATTTACACAAACTTATTAGGTAGGTAACTCAATGTTTCCTTCTACCCTCTGTCTTTGATTTCAGCATATCTTGGGAGTGTTGCATTTTCCAAGCACACGCGATGCGTTCAAAAAGTTTTAAATGCCTCTTTCGGATTCCAAGTAGAAATCTCAGATTCTCTTTGCGCACGTTATCCGTCTATGGTATTCTCAGCATTCTTCTGTAGAAAAACATCTTAAATCTCTTCATCATCTGTGAGGAAATTGTCCCGCATGCACTGCTAATATAAAACGGTTGATATTACATAATAGCTCAGTACACCTTTCTTTCTTTTTAACAGAATGTCTTTGTTTCGTAACCTTTTTTTAGCTTTTGAAAGGCTTCTTTCGCTATTTCAACGTGCATTGTCATAGTTCCCGCATCACCTTCAATCTGTCCTGTTAGTGTCAAATTATCAAAGCTGTAGAATAACAATACAATAAACAGCACTTACCGGCGGAAGGGTCCCAGCTAGCGTCCAGCTAGCAGACAAAAATAAAGCAGGTTGTAACTCAATACAAAATCTGCAAATTATCTGATGAATCAAGCTGGTATTTATACAGAAATGCTTCCACTCATGTACCAGCAGCCAATCACAGCCTAAGCAATGGACTATCCCACTTTAGCACAATGAGATGCTCCATGGCACCATAAA